TCCAAGTGTTTTCTAATGCAAGACTGTGACATCTATCTATCTATCTATCTATCTATCTATCTATCTATCTATCTATCTATCTATCTATCTATCTATCTATCTATCTAGCTATCTGTCTGTCTGTCTATCTATCTGTCTATCTATCTATTTGTCTGTGTCTATCTATCTATCTATCTATCTATCTATCTATCTATCTATCTATCTATATCTATCTATCTATCTGTCTGTCTAGCTATCTGTCTATCTATCTATCTGTCTGTCTATCTATCTGTCTATCTATCTATTTGTCTGTGTCTATCTATCTATCTATCTATCTATCTGTCTGTCTGTCTATATATATGTCTGTCTATCTATCTATCTATATCTATCTGTCTATCTATCTATATGTCTGTCTATCAATCTGTCTGTCTTTCTGTCTATCCATCTATCTATCTATCTATCTATCTATCTATCTATCTATCTATCTATCTATCTATCTATCTATCTATCTATCTATCTGTCTGTCTGTCTGTCTGTCTGTCTGTCTGTCTGTCTGTCTATCTATCTATCTATCTATCTATCTATCTATCTATCTATCTATCTATCTATCTATCTATCTATCTCAAAACATAGTCCCTCATTACGGATCCTGCAGGCGTCCAGGACTCAAACTTCAGCTTTCTCGACCACAATAAGAGTTTCTGATGAAGTAGCAACATTTACACATGGATGTGGATGGGTTAAGAAGCGTTTATTCCTCAGCCAGGCGATGAGTGTGAAGTTAAATGCTGAGGTAGAGGAGCAGATAGATGTGTGTGTGGGCGACTGGTGGGTTTTGCTTGCAGTGTGTGTCCCAGAACACAGTCAGCGGGAGTCGCTTTATGTGGTTTTTCAGTTCGTAAGAAACACTCATGATCTGCTAAATACAGACGGAAACCAAAACACTCCATCATCATTAAAGGCTAGATGATGTTGGCATGACTTCACAATGCCAGAAAAGATAAAATCTATATTTATGCCCAAATGTTCAACCAACTTTCATTTCATTTGAGAAGAGAGAATTTGAGGCAGTCATTACTTTTGTACCGAGGATCATATTCAGTACATGAAACAGTGAGTGTGATATTGCTTCAAAAGGAAGCTAATATTGAGTAACTGAAACTCAGACACAAAATACCAGCAGCTGTTTTGTTTATATTTTTTTGCTGGACAAAAATCTATTTTACAAATTCAACGAAGCCCTCTTGAGCGACGTCTCCATGGCTTGGTTTACGGTTTTCCCAGTTTCCAGCAGGTTTGCTTATTTTTGCACGGCATCAAGCTTGGTTGCAATATTTGGAGTCCTTGGAACACCGTTTGAGACGAAACTAACAGTTTTAATATTCTCAAGTCATGTCAGAATTACCATAATTACATATTTCTGGCTTGATGTAATGAATGATTTAAAATGATGTCATGTAAGCACAGCCAAAATGGCAGCAGGTTCAGTTAGTCAATCTTTTTTTTTTTTCATTAAACTCTGTTAAAAGTGAATTTTTTTGTTCTTTAATATTTTTTAAGAGGTGTATTAATGTATTATTATGCAGTCAAAGCCACACATGGACCATTTTGGTATTATTAGCATTACTATTGAAAGTTGTCCTAAGTACAGTAATTCCGACACGACATACACTACCATTCAAATATAGTTTTGGAAAGAAATTAATACTGTTATTCAGCAAAAATGCATTAAATTGATCAGAAGTGACAGTAATGACATTTATATTGTTAAAATATTCTATTTCAAAGAATCCTGACAAAAAAATGCATCAGTTTCCACAAAAATATGAAGCAGCAAAACTGCTTTTTTTCAACTATAATAATCATAAATGTTTCTTGAGCAGCAAATCATCATATTAGAGTGATTTCTGAAGGATCATGTGACACTGAAGACTGGAGTAATGATGCTGAAAATACAGCTTTGATCACAGGAATAAATTACACTTTACTGTATATTCACATAAAAAAACAGCTATTTTAAATCGTAATAATATTTCAAAATATTAGAGTTTTTACTGTATTTTTGATTAAACAATTGCAGCCTCGGTGAGAGCAGAAGTCTTTTTTAAAAACTTAAAAAAATCCAAACTTATGAACGGTGGTGTATCTGACTGCTAATCATCACGTGTCACATGACATGAATTTTAATACAAAGAACCAGCGTAAGACAGGTATCTGTAACTCAAAAGAAGGACCTGAGAGAAACCTTTTCTTAATCTCTCTCTCTCCCTCTCTCTCTCTCTCTCTCTCTCTCTCTCTCTCTCTCTCTCTCTCTCTCTCTCTCTCTCTCTCTCTCTCTCTCTCTCTCTCTCTCTCTCTCTCTCTCTCTCTCTCTCTCTCTCTCTCTCTCTCTCTCTCTCTCTCTCTCTCTCTCTCTCTCTGTTTTCCTGGCAGTAGGATAAACATGATGTGCACATTCCTGAGGTTGCTATGGAGACGCTGAGAAAGCACAGCTGGAGCTGGAGAATATGAGGTAATCCTGAGCCCCAGGGGCTGCTGGGTAAATATTGATCTTGAATAAGAAATAAAATGAGAAGAAATACAGTAAGGAGACAATGACGGTGTCCGTGCAGAGCAGTTAATGTTTCCTCGCGTGAACAGTAGGCGAAAGCGCAGGACGCCGTTTACAGCAAAGATGATTTTCAAAAATGTCTTGAGCTGTGAAGCGAACCCCCCTCCGCGGCACTCAAACAAACACCTGCACAGAGATCACCATAAATCCATTTCAAGTAATAGTTCACCCCAAAACAAACACAAATAGAGTGTTTAGGATGGGGACAGACAGTGTCAAGCTACAAAAATGCTTAAAAAGTACCATAAAAGTAGTCCATGTGACCAGTAGCGGCGTTGCTGTGCTGTGAAAGTCTTACGGGTTGAACAACATGAGGGCGAGTAATTACTGACAGAGTTTTCATTTTGGGGTGAACTATCCCTTTAAAATTGAAATTAATACTCTAATAGTGTATATATATATATATATATGACCTCTGACCCGACGCATGACATAGGCTCAGTTGAGAATTGACGAATGCGGAAGCGCAGAGGATCGAGCAAAACAAAACACCGGTCACGAATTAGAAGTCTAAAACGAGAAGTTTTAAAGAAAAATGTCAGAGGATTTTGATATAATAGAAGAGGAGTTACATCATACGTGGGGTCAAAGGTCACTCTTCCGCCAGAACTCGACTCTATCGTGAACGCGTGTACGGCCGTTGCTGGAAGCCATTATAGTTTATAAAGCTTTAAATATGGATGTTTTTCTCACAAACCCATTACTTCGCTTCAGAAGACACTGAATGGATTACTTTTATGATGGATAGATGTGCTTTTTTGGAGCTTTAAAAAAGTATGGGATAATTTTTGGGTAAAATATTACTTTGACAAATGAGTCATTGAATCATTCACTCAAAAGATTAGTTCAAAACGGCTGATTGTTGACTGAACTGACTGATGTTTTTCTCACAAAACCCTTTTCACTTGAAACGAAAAAGAGCCCAGGGTTGGAAATGAATTCCCCAAAATTCAAGACATGGGGCAAAAAATGTCCCTGTGTCAGTTCTTGTTGCCAGTGCATGTCTCAGAGCAACGCGTAATGTTTCGTTACTGAATGAATCCGCATTTTTGAACAAATTGTTCAAATGAATGACTTAACGACTCACTCATAAACACAGACACTTGCTTTGTCTTTTTGTGAATGAATCAGCCGTTTTGAACGAATCTTTTGAGTGAATGATTCAATGACTCATTTGTCAAAGTAATATTTTACCCAAAAATTATCCCATAATTTTTTAAAGCCTCCAAAAAAGCACATCTATCCATCATAAAAGTAATCCATTCAGTGTCTTCTGAAGCGAAGTAATGGGTTTTGTGAGAAAAACATCCATATTTAAAGCTTTATAAACTATAATGGCTTCCAGCAACGGCCGTACACGCGTTCACGATAGAGTCGAGTTCCGGCGGAAGAGTGACCTTTGACCCCACGTATGATGTAACTCCTCTTCTATTATATCAAAATCCTCTAACATTTTTCTTTAAAACTTCTCGTTTTAGACTTCTAATTCGTGACCGGTGTTTTGTTTTGCTCGATCCTCTGCGCTTCCGCATTCGTCAATTCTCAACTGAGCCTATGTCATGCGTCGGGTCAGAGGTCATATATATATATATATATACACTATTAGAGTATTAATTTAAATTTTAAAGGGATAGTTCACCCCAAAATGAAAACTCTGTCAGTAATTACTCGCCCTCATGTTGTTCAACCCCGTAAGACTTTCGTTCATCTTCGAGACACAAATTAAGATATTTTTGATTAAATCTGAGAGCTGGATCACTCCTCCATGGGCTTCTTAAAGGATCGAAACTGGCCGGCCCAAAAGTTATGAAAGACATCGTTAAAATAGTCCGAGTGACTACAGTGGCTCAACCTTAAGTTTATCAAGCGACGAGAATACTTTCTGTGCGCAAAAAACAAACAAAAATAACGACTTTATTCAACTATTCATTTCCTTCTCTGTGGGCCTTGAGATTTCACGTAGTGTAACAGCGCAGCGCTTCTGTGTTGTACGTCACACGTAGGCTCACTATTGGCCGACGCTGGTCATGTGTGTGTGTGTGTGTCATACAACACAGAACCGTTGCGCAGTTTCACTACATGAAAACAGAGAAGGAAATGAATAGTTGAAAAAAGTAGTTATTTTTATGTGTTTTTTGCGCACAAAAAGTATTCTCGTCGCTTGATAAACTTAAGGTTGAGCCACTGTAGTCACTCGGACTATTTTAACGATGTCTTTAATAACTTTTCTGGGCCGGCCAGTTTCGATCCCTTAAGAAGCCTATGGAGGAGTGATCCAACTCTCAGATTTAATCAAAAATATCTTAATTTGTGTTCCGAAGATGAAAGAAAGTCTTACGGGGTTGAACAACATGAGGGCGAGTAATTAAAGGAGTAGTTCACCTTTTAAAAAACTTTTGCTGATAATTTA